GAGTTGAATATGAGGCAGAGGAGATGGTTAGAATTTCTAAAGGATTATGATTTCGGTTTGAATTACCATCCTGGTAAGGCAAACGTTGTTGCGGATGCCTTGAGTAGGAAGTCCTTGCATATGTCGATGTTAATGGTCTGTGAGTTAGATTTGGTTGAGCAGTTCAGAGATTTAAGTTTGGTATGTGAAACTACTCCGAATAGTGTGAAATTGAGTATGTTGAAACTGACTAGTGGTATTCTGGAAGAAATTCGGAATGGACAGAAGTCCGATGTTGGGTTAGTTGATAAATTGACATTGATCAACCAAGGTCAAGGAGGCGAGTTCCGGATTGGTGAGAATGGTGTTATGAGATTTGGTAATAGGGTGTGTGTTCTGGATGTTGCAGAGATTAGGAAGAGTATTTTGGAAGAAGGACATCGTAGTGGATTGAGTATTCATCCTGGTGCTACTAAAATGTACCATGATTTGAAGAAGTTGTTTTGGTGGCCGAGAATGAAAAAGGAAATTGCTGAGTTTGTGTATGCTTGTTTGGTTTGTCAGAAGTCGAAGATTGAGCATCAGAAACCGTCAGGATTGATGGAACCGTTGTTTGTTCCGGAATGGAAATGGGATGGAATCTCTATGGATTTTGTGTCTGGTTTGCCAAGGACATCGAAGAATTGTGATTCTATCTGGGTTATTATTGATCGGTTGACGAAATCTGCTCACTTTATTCCGATAAGAATGGATTATCCGATGGAAAGGTTGGCAGAATTGTATGTTGAGAAGATTGTGAGTTTGCACGGTATTCCTTCTAGTATTGTGTCGGATCAAGATCCGAGGTTTACATCTAAATTCTGGACGGGATTGCAAGAAGCTTTAGGTACTAAGTTGCGTTTGAGTTTCGCTTATCATCCACAGACAGATGGTCAGACGGAGAGAACGATTCAGTCGTTGGAAGATTTGTTAAGAGCTTGTGTGTTGGAGAAAGGTGGAGCTTGGGATAGTTATCTACCATTGATTGAGTTTACCTACAACAATAGTTTTCATTCGAGCATTGGTATGGCTCCATTTGAGTCATTGTATGGTAGGAGGTGTCGGACACCGTTGTGTTGGTATGAATCTGGAGAGAGTGCTGTGATTGGACCGGAAATTGTCCAACAGACTTCGGAAAAGATTAAGATGATTCAGGAGAAGATGAGGACTTCTCAGAGTCGTCAGAAAAGTTATCACGATAAGAGGAGGAAAGATCTTGAGTTTAGCGAAGGAGAACATGTTTTTATGCGAGTTACTCTGATGACTGGTATTGGTCGAGCTTTGAAGTTAAAGAAGTTGACTCCACGTTTTATTGGTCCGTTTCAGATTACCAAGAGAGTTGGGAAAGTTGCTTATCAGATTGCTTTGCCACCGTCACTTGCAAATTTGCATGATGTTTTTCATGTTTCTCAGCTGAGGAAGTACATTGTTGATCCGTCTCATGAGATTCGGGTAGACGATATACAGGTACGAGAGAATTTGACTGTGGAAGCGGTACCTGCGAGAATTGAGGATCGGAAGTTGAAACAGTTGCGAGGCAAGGAGATCGCGTTGGTAAGAGTGGCTTGGGGAGGACCAGCAGATGAAAATGTCACTTAGGAGCTGGAGAGTCAGATGAAGGACTCGTATCTCGAACTGTTCGTCTAAGGTATGTTTTCGAGGACGAAAACTCTTTTAGTTGGGGAGAGTTGTGACACCCCAAATTAATTCAAGTGTTAAATAATTAGGAATTTAATTATTAAATTAATTAAAGGCTTAATTAATAATATTTTGGATTAAATGGATGAATTAATTATGGAATTAAAAAGGAAGACCGGGGGGTGTAAAGTTGAATTAGAGGTGTGTGAAGTAAAAAGCCCTACTAACTAATAACTAATTTATTTCTATTATTTGGAAAATAATAATAGGAATATAAAAGAAGGATAAAAAGGAAAAGAAAAAAAGGTTATTTGGAAAACTCATTGTACGTGAAATTGGAGAAGAGAAGAGAAGAGAGGAAAAAGACAAACACCGTGAATTCGAAGGATCTTCGCGAGGTAAGGGGTGATTTCAATTATTTAATATGCCCTATAGGTTTTGGAATCAATAGGATTGATTAAGTCTGTTAGAAATCCCAATTTAGGATTTATGAAATTCAAACCCCAATTCCATGAATTTTATGTTTTGATTCAATTTGATGTTATGAGAAAATTGTATGATGTTATGGTGTGTTATAATCTCATTGGAATCATGCACTATAACTTGTTTTGACATTGCTGTGAGTTGGATTCGTATGGGTATGAATTGGATGGGATTAGAATGATTAAATGCTGTCAAAATAGCAGTTTTTGGCTCTGCAGGTCGTGGGAACCGGTTCCCAGTGGGGAGGAACCGGGTTCCACTGTGTGAACGTACAAAAACTAGCAAAATTGGTCGCAGGAACCGGTTCCTGTATAGGTAGGAACCGGGTTCCAGTACATTTTCCAGAAACGTAACTTTTTGAAAAATATTAAACTTTGAAAATTCATAACTTTCAAACCGTAAGTCCGATTTGAGTGCCGTTTTCGGCAGTATTTCTTAAATTTAAAATGCTATCTTATAAAATAAGAAAAATATTATTTTATGAAAATTATTTTAAAAAGAGTCGAATTCCCGATTTTTGTAAACTTTGGTATTTTGAGAATGATGTAAAATTGTTTGTAAATTATTCTGATTTGGTGAATGAGAACTGATACTTATGTGTTGTGCCTGCTATCCATTATGATTGATATGTGATCATGTGATATATTGGTTTTGGCATTATTTGGAATTATGTTGTGATCATATTCTGTTGATTTGATGTTGACTTTCCGATTATGCGGTTTGTTATTATGTGCATATTTGGTGTATATGCAATGGTGTATCCATGATAATTGATTGTATCAGGTCCTTGTGGATGAAGTGCATGTTTATTCTGTTTGATGTGTGTATGATAAATAATGATATCATGTTTCTTTTGGTTTTGGTTCAGTTATGATAAATTGATGTATTTCATAGACTGATTTGATGTTGCATGTAGGTGATGTGCATGCATATGCATTGTTTTGGTGAAGTTAATTCCCATTGTGTGGAATTTGACTTGTATTGCCGTTAACCGATACCCGGGTGATGATGGGTGGTTAGGCTGGATTCGTGTCCGGTGTTTATGGACGAATCGATGGTTGCTGTATCCGGTTGATGATGGATCAGCTGGATTCGTGTCCGGTGTTTATGGACGAATCGATGGTTGCTGTATCCGGTTGATGATGGATCAGTGTTGGGTGACTTGGTCACGTGATTGGTACCACATGCATTGTGTCTGCATTTGTGTTTGCATGGGATTGTAACATGTTAGGATGTCTTCCAGTGTTACAATTCTTTGGTTGATTATTGATTTGTGCATAATGACTTGTATGATTGGAACTGTGTGTTGAATCTGAGTTTATGCTAAAATGGGTGAAATAATATGCTTGTGATATACTGTTGATTGAGAAGCTTATAATGCATGTTAATTATGAGAAATATCACCCTTACTTTAATGATTTCAGATTAAAGTTAGCAGCTCAGGAGTTGGTGAGGATGGCTCTAGAGCTATGTTACTTTAAGTCCGTGTGTCAGTGTCGTGCTCTGATAGGTTGTAACACTGGGGGAAACGTTTCAATGATGAGTTTTATTTTATACTCTATTGTTTAATTTATGTTGGGAATACTTATGAAGTGAAGTTATTCCGGTTTTGAGTCATTTCCGCTGTGTAGAACATGATATTGGTTTGAATATTTATCTTAATAATTCCTTCAGTAAAGCACGATAACTGTAAATTTGAGGTTTTTATATTTATCTTGAATTGTGACATCCCTGTTTTTCATGTTACTCTGATTTAATTAATATATTCGCGGGTTATTTAGAAGGGGTGTTACACATCGGGTCCAGGGGCCTTCAAAGGATGCATTTAGAATAACACATCTTTAACCTCCTGGGCAGAGAACTAAGTTGCACACCAACTAACATCTTCCTTTGTAATCTTACCACGAACTACGTCATAAGTTTCTTAGACATGAAAGGGAAAATAAGTGGAGAAAACTTCAGAAAAACAATTGACTATGAGCCTTCCAAAATTATCACTCCCCCTCCACCAGACACCATTCTCATCCAGAAGTTTCTTAGTATTGTTGGTTCTTCGCCTTTGATCTGCTTTAGCATGGAATAATTTTGTATTTTGATCACCATGATCCAGCCACACCGCTCTACTCTTCTGCCTACAAATTACTTCCTCCATTTGCAAGAGATTATTACGTTGAACTTTGAGAGATTTGTAGGTTTTGATATTCTCCTGGCTTGCTGACCATCTAGCATCGTCCTTTATTAAAGTTTCAACTCTAGAGATCTCCTTAGCCACATTCCTCACTATGTATTATTTGAAATGATAATCAAGCTCCTACATAGCTTGAAGTCCTTGGTGTCCCAGCCACAAATTCCCATTCCACAATTAGCCCACAAGCTTATCACACTTAGGATATTTCATTGAACCTCCTCAAATATGAATATATGCCTTCTCTTTTTTATAATTATCCTCCAACTCCGCTTCAAGATCAATTCTAGTAACTGCATGGTCAGAACCGTGACAAGGGAGATGAAGGACCTTTACAGGGGAAAATCTGTTAATGAAGCTAGTAGAAGAAGCAACTCTATCAAGCCGACATTGTATGTTTCACCATCTTGTCTACCGTTTGTCCAAGTAAACGGGTAGCCTTCAAAACCTAAATTCGTTAATCCACATAACTCCAAAGTTTGACGGCCCACGACATTTGAGAGAACTATATATTAATTCCTCCTAATTTCTCATGCTCAGCAGTGGTGTCATTGAAATCACCAAAACATACAACATGTTCCCCACCTTTATTAACAACCTCCTCCAATAGCATCCATGTTTTCCTTTTGTTAACCGTGTCCGGAAAACCATATGTCCCATTAAATTATCACTTCAGTTAGACTTCATCCTCCTCCACCGAACCTCCTATGTGATTATTTGATGAGGAAAGAATGTCAACCTTAACCTTCTCCTTCCACATCAGGACTAACCCTCTTGCTCGATTTGTACCGCTCCTTGTGCACTCCACCCATTGACAACACTCAAAATCACATTTAGACTTAACCTTTAACACTTCATCTTTCTTCATGCGAGTTTCCATAAGGAAAATTATGTCAGGATTTTCCAAAGGGATGAGCCTCAACAAGGCTCGAACTGCACGAGGACTCCCTAACCTCCTGCAGTCCCAACTTATGATTTTCATTAGACTAGGAGGTGTTGGACTTCCAACAGCACCTATGGTTCATCTGACAAAAGAGTCGCCTTAAGTTGCTTCCTTTTCTTTTCACTACTCCCACAATCCTCTACTGTTCCTTCAGTAATCAAAACATCCACCAATTGTCTTTTCCCACTATCTTCTTCCCCTATTTTAGTTTGATTTATGGTCGTTTTCCTATCCCCTTTTTTTCCTTGTCCATTTCTTCCTTCTAACACTTTCCTCCCTTGAAATTGAATCCCATCCCTTTCATTTATTAGATATGTCAACAACCCCTAACGACTCTGCTACCGATTCAATCTCTAGATTGTTATTCTTGGAGATGCTTCCTCTTGTTCCTGGACTCCTCCCTTTTGTGATTGCATTACCAACCCCCTATTCAACTTCCACCTCAATCCCTTCCTTGCTTTTACCCCTGTCTTCACACCTTTTGTGGCTTGTTGAATTGTTGAATAGACTCATCTTGCATTTACTTGAACTAGAGTCATTTTTCTTCCCCGGTGGGATACCGTATTCCTTCTGAGTTGGATATTAACGATTGGCTTATGAGAATTTTGAATGATGGTTGTGATACGGTGGGAGAACTGACTTGATTTTTTGCGTTTTTGTTTACAAATGTTGCGGTTTAGCAAGAGTCGCCACCGACTTTTCTTTTATCCGAAAGGAAAGGTGAAAAAGCACAGGAAAGACCTTTAGAGATGTTTTCTTGAGTTCGGGGGGTAGATTATGAAAAGGGAAGGTATTAGCACCCTTTTCATCCATGGTTTTCCATGGGCACTTAGTTACTCGCTAGCTCAACTTGCTTTTGTTTGAATGTGCTTTGTGATGTGGGCCTTGAAAGTGTTTTGAAAATGTCTTTGTAATGGTTATCGTTTCTATATGAACGCGTACAAAGTTTTGTTTCAAAAGATAGTTCAAAGACGTGTTTGTGGATTGTGTTGTGGAGAATGGTTTTTGGAAAGATATTTTGCAATAGTTCTCGTCTCTATAAGAATGTATACAAAATGTTTTATCTTTTTTGAAAATGTTTTTGAAATGAAAGTGTTGGTGTATAAAATGTTTTTGTTGCGAGCAAGCGAGTAACTAAGAGCGAAACTACCTACTCAAAAGGTCTTAAATGTGCTTTTCCTTCTCCTTTAGATATGACTATCTTACCATTGATTTGATAAGAAGTCCCATCGTTGGATATGAAGGGACGGGTGTAGGGACGTTTGTATAGTCATAGAAGGCAACTCATGGAACATCTTAGCAATGTCGTTTAGGGACTAGATCGTTTTACCGAAGGCAACATCGAGGGTCATCAAGAGACTAAGATCCTTTTTCATCGAAGGGTCTTTGCTAAAACGTCCCATGTTCGAGGGACATGACTATTTTCCGAAAGGCGACAAAGTGAGATTGCCCTAGAGGTGTTAGTGTGCAAGTGTGTTAGTTTGCATACGTTTTATTTTGTATTTGAAAGTCGTCTATTTGTTGATTTTATCTTGCCATGCATCCTATTTACTAGCAATACATGAAAAGCAAGTAAAATGCAGAAAGTAAAAATCTAAGCTATTACATCTTTTTAGGGGGATGGGGGTACAAATTAATAATGGGGATGAAGTAGAAACTAAAATATTACAACCATATCGAACAACAACAAAGATAATGTGAAAACAGTGCCAAATATAGGAAGAAATGCATTTTGAACCACTATGTGTCGACCCATGCTGTTATGCATCGACACATAGCTTTTCCCTGCTCCTGCAAAACAAAATGACTCAGTATGAGTCGACACATAATGGAATGTGTCGACTCATGCACCCTTCTCGTGTCGACGCGAAACGCGTATGTATCGACTCATAAGCTCTTCCAGCTTCTGTTTGTGACCTGAACTCAGTATGGGTCGATGCATGAGGATTATGTGTCGACTCATACCCTGTTTTTTTTCACTAGGATGGGTCGATACATGATGATATGTGTCGATACATGCTGCATTTTCCTGCCTTAAACATTATTTTACTGAATGTACAGGTTAGCTTATGGCATATGATGGATAAACATGAACAACAAATGATTGAATAAGCCTAAACAAGGTGCAGATGACTAGTTCAAAAAAGATATTAAAGTACTACATCTTGTCTTTAAAATAAACAAATCATTAATGATGTATGGAGAGATATCAAGTCAAGAAGACTTACCTCTGGACTGCAGTGTCTGTTTTAAATCTGAATGTCTTTCCAAATGTGATGAGGACCTCAATGAATCTCTAGAAAGCTACTTCAGACTGTTGAAACTAAGCTGGATTGTACTGTAATGTTTTTGGTGTTTTGAGGATAGGGATGAACAGCACTACAGGGACTATTTTTTTTTGGTTATGTTTGGACCGTCTTTGAGGAAGAGTTTGTATGGTGGAGCAATGGTTTGGGTTTCTGTTTTGAACAAGAGCAATTTTGGTTTTTAAAATGAGTCAAAATTGCACAGAATATTGTTTTTCTGCTCAACAAAACTCTTTATCTTCTCTCTAGAAAAAAAATTTAACCTCTCTTCAAAATCCAACCTCTTTGTCTTATGAGACAGCCCTCTTTCGTAGACCCCTTAACTGTGGTTTAGGGGGGAAAACAAATAAGTCATTTTGAATTGTTTTTGCCTACTGCTTTGATACTTTCTGCACACAATTTTCCTTTGCCATTTTGGTGCAATTTTGGGGTTGTTGTGGTGCAGGCTTGAACAGACTGCATAGAGCTGTTTTGGTGCAAGTTTGACTTTTTAATGTCCGGTTAACTTTTTCCAGCTGAAACTCCAATTTTGCTCATTTTTCCCCTTTTGATAATTTGAAAGATTCTTCTTAGAAAATATGACCTGAGGTTTGAAACTTGACTGAGGTAATTCTAAAGGTTCTTGAGACAAGGGAGGGCAAATTTTGGGGTACAACAGCTACCCCTGTTCAATCTTCTTAAACCTGAGGATGTAGATTGGCTGATCCACCTTTCGTGATCTGAAGGTGGAAGATGATTGAACATTAGAGTGCCCAGAAATTTGCACTCGATGATGTGGTGGTTGATTGTGTAGGGAATGGGCTTAAAAGATGTCATTTAGAGAAATGATGGGTAATTGTCGGAGATGGGCTTGCAGATGCCATCCAGGAAAGATTGGTTGGATAAGGGATTCCTTGGCGATAAATCCTTTTCCTGCTGTCGAGAAGGATTTTGCTGGGGAATGCTGGTTTATGTCCTAGGAAGTGACATTTAGGAGCTTTGGTTGTCCATTACTCCACTGGGGAATTAACTCTTGATTGAGGGAGTGAAAATAGAACGCATACTTGGTCAGGGTCCAGGCTGTACAGCGGCTTGCTAGGGAATGTGAAATTGACCATTTCTGGTCGGGTCCAGGCCTTACAGTGTTGTAAATTGTTGTCTGGAGATAATAGAGAAGGAACCTGGATAGTAGGGTTACGTTGAGATGAAAGCCTGAGTAGTAGGGCTGTGAGAAGGAACCTGGATAGCAGGGTTGCTTCAAAATCAAAGCCTGGGTAGTAGGGCTGTGAGAAGGAACTTGGATAGTAGGGTTACTTTGAGATGAAATCCTGGGTAGTAGGGCTGTGAGAAGGAACCTGGATAGTAGGGTTGCTTCGAAATGAAAGCCTGGGTAGTAAGGCTGTGAGAAGGAACCTGGATAGTAGGGTTACTTTGAGATGAAAGCCTGGGTAGTAGGGTTGTGAGAAGGAACCTGGATAGTAGGGTTGCTTCGAAATAAAAGCCTGGGTAGTAGGGCTGTGAGAAGGAACCCGGATAGTAGGGTTACTTTGAGATGAAATCCCGGGTAGTAGGGCTGTGAGAAGGAACCTGGATAGTAGGGTTACTTTGAGATGAAAGCCTGGGTAGTAGGGCTGTGAGAAGGAACCTGGATAGTAGGGTTGCTTCAAAATGAAAGCCTGGGTAGTAGGGCTGTGAGAAGGAACCAGGATAGTAGGGTTGCTTCAAAATGAAAGCCTGAGTAGTAAGTATGTGAGAAGGAACCTGGATAGTAGGGTTACTTCGAAATGAAAGCCTAGATAGTAGGGCTATGAGAAGAAACCTAGGTAGTAGGGTTACTTCGAAATGAAAGCCTGGATAGTAGGGCTATGAGAAGAAACCTGGGTCGTAGGGTTACTTCGAAATGAAAGCCTGGATAGTAGGGCTATGAGAAGAAACCTGGGTAGTAGGGTTGCTTCAAAATGAAAGCCTGGGTAGTAGGGCTATGAGAAGAAACCTGGGTCGTAGGGTTACTTCAAAATGAAAGCCTGGATAGTAGGGCTACGAGAAGAAACCTGGGTAGTAGGGTTACTTCATGATGAATTCGTGTGAAATTTTATTTTGAAATGTATGAGAAGGGACCCGTGTAAGATTTTTCAAGATAAACTCGTGTGAAGTCTGTTTAGTTTCAGGAGCTAATCTTGGACCAAATTCTGGGAAAATAAATCCACGACTGCTGCCGGAGAGTATGGGAAATAGCATTCCTGACTGTTTGTAGAAAACCGTGGTTCTTCTACTTTCGTTGGGAGAGACTCTACTTGAGAATAATTCTGCAGGGAAGAATCAGGATAAACCGTTGAGAGATTTAAACTGAACCGACAGAGGTCTGAAGGAAATATTTGTTATGTCGATGGTCAACCAGTCCTTTCTCGGGAATTGATATGTAATTGATTTGTCCACAAATAGTTATCCTGTCAGAAATTTGATGATAATTTCCTAATGATTGATTTTTTCTGAAAAGATGAAGAGTTAGTTGTATGCGATGCCATGATGTATGAAATGAGATTGCGCTATATGCATTTGTGTTGTTGATTCCATGACGTATGAATGTAATGTATGAACATATTAATTGTTCTGCTGCAATGTTGCTGGACTCAAGGAAAATAAATCCCCGAGTACTGCTAGGAATGAGGAGCGTAAGTCTTCATATTTTATTGAAGTTGAAGCATGGATGGAAGAGTTTCCATTATTATAGAAATAAACTCTATCGGGGAAGGG